GTTTGGTGTTTTACCAACTTTGTATAGTGAATGTGGGCGTGAGAGTGGGAGACAGGACAGATGGGAGTGAGTGGGAGACTGAATAAACGCAACGGGTGGTAAGTGCTTATCGACACAGTGCCGTGTGTGTGTGTGTGTGTGTGTGTGTGTGTGTGTGTGTGTGTGTCTGCTGTGATGATGAGGGGGGGGGGTGGACAGACAGAGGGGGGGGCCACCAGCGGCTGCGTTGTGGCTATAGTGTTGTTCTGAGGGTCGGGGAGTTCGGACGACCCTCTGACTCCTTTGGGCGTTCGGTAAACAGCGGTTCGTTCTTGTCGTTCGGTTAGGCCAATTCGAACCCGTTCGGTTAGGCCAATCCCCCCCCCCCCCGTGTGTGTGCATATGTGTATGAGAGAGTACCGGATATCGTCCTTATATGAGTGTAACCGCAGATAATGTCGGGTAACTTTGATTGCGGTCGAAGTTTATTGTGCACCCCATGCTCATCCTGTGAGCCGTAGCGCAAAAAGGATTACAGAGATGTCGACGAGGAGGTAACTAGGTGGCTGAATGGGACTATACTGAGAAAAGATGACCATCAATATCTTGTGAAGACGAGTCCTGTCCCCCTCAAGTAACGACCAATTGGAGTATAAGGGTTGTTTCGGTGACATATTGAAATGAGATTAGTTATAATTGGTTGATTGACTGGACGATTAGATGCCCTTTGTGTTCATTCCTGTGATGGAGGGCATTTAATTCAAGGGTATGGTCCCCCCCCCCCTCTCTCTCTCTCTCTCTCTCTCTCTCTCTCTCTCTCTCTCTCTCTCTCTCTCTCTCTCTCTCTCTCTCTCTCTCTCTCTCTCTCTCTCTCTCTCCGGCCCAGAGAGGTCCAACAAGGCTCCTACCAGAACTATGAGGAAAGGCTGAGGGAGCTGAACCTCACCACGCTTCAAGGGACACGGAATCGAGGAGACATGATAACGATATGAAAGATTCTCAGGGTAATATATAAGGATCATAGAAAGGATTATATGCTTGGTATAAGGCAGGGTAGAACAAAGACACATGTTCAGTACGTGGCAAGGTAGAACAAGATGTGATGTTCAGTTTAAGACAGGATAGAACAAGAGAACATGGTTGGAAACTAGAGGCACGGATTAGTTACAAGGATGTCAACAGTGACATGTATACAGTGATGATGGTGAGCACCTATAGTGATGGTATAGGGAGCCGGTCGGCCGAGCGGACAGCACGCTGGACTTGTGATCCTGTGGTCCTGGGTTCGATCCTGGGCGCCGGCGAGAAACAATGGGCAGAGTTTCTTTCACCCTATGCCCCTGTTACCTAGCAGTAAAATAGATACCTGGGTGTTAGTCAACTGTCACGGGCTGCTTCCTGGGGGTGGAGGCCTGGTCGAGGACCGGGCCGCGGGGACACTAAAGCCCCGAAATTATCTCAAGATAACCTGACAGTGGCCGCACGGGCCTGGCCACTATCAGTAGTTTACTAAGCACAAGGAAATAGTGTCGTCAGTCACTATTAAATAGCCGATAGATGATGAGGCAGGGCTCAGGAACTAGCGTACGACCCGGCATCACCTCATCAACGGTAGAAGCTTCTCAAGAGGAAGCTTAAGAAAGGTTAAGCTGGTGCTGGAGCGTGAGCTTGGCTGTGCGGGCATCTTGCCCACCAGGGCAAGCAGCCAACCTGGAGCCAGATTCATGAAGCAGTTACGCAAGCACTTACAAAGCTGAATATCTTTTCTCAATCTTTGGCGGCTTTGTTTATAATTATTAAACAGTTAATGAGCTGCGAAGCACCAGGAGGCTGTTTATAACAATAACAACAGTTGATTGGCAAGTTTTCATGCTTGTAAACTGTTTAATAAATGTAACCAAAGCCGTCAAAGATTGAGGAAAGATGGACAGGTTCGTAAGTACTTGCGTAACTGCTTCGTGAATCCGGCCCCAGGGAGCGGCCATTACCAGACGAAGACTTCGTCTAGTCTAGAGCCCAGTAGACTCAGGAATCTGTACACCAGTTGATTGACAGTTGAGAGGCGGGACCAAAGAGCCAAAGCTCAACCCCCGCAAGCATAATTAGGTGAGTACTTCCCTGAGGTCTAACGCCACCCTCGCCACCTGCACGTCCCCAGGTGGCAGGCACAGTTTGGTAGATCAACAGGTAAAAAGATTTCAGAGGTATACCACCAGACTACCCCAGCACTCGCGGGCATGAGTTCGGAGGCCAGACTCGAGGCATTACACCTCATGTCACTAGAAACGGAGGAGACATGATCACCACATACAGAATTCTGAGTGGACTAGACTATACAGACTTTAATATAGATGGGACACGAACAAGGCTGTATAAATGGACACTAATGACCCAAGTTAGCCACAATTGGAGGCTAATTCTAGGCACGGATATAAATGTATATATAACAACCTAACGAGGCTGTGATCTGATACAACCTGATCAACCAGGCTGTGACGCATACGTCAGGCTGCGAGCAGCCGCGTCCAACAGCCTGGTTGACCAGTCCAGCAACCAGGAGGCCTGGTCGACGACCGGGCCGCGGGGACGCTAAGCCCCGGAAGCACCTCAAGGTACCCTCAAGGTCAAGGTAGGCCAGGGATCCGTATACCAGTCGACTGAAAGTTAAGGAGGTGGGAGCCAGGAGCTGTGGCACCACCCCAGCTAGTGGGTGGAGATAGTGGGGCAGGAGGAAATAGGAAGAACCAAGGGGGGTAGGAAGGTTCTCTGTGGGAGATGTGTTGAAGAGGGGGGGCTGCACCCCCCGCTGCGTCACCTGGGGGGGGAGGGGGGGGGCTTCATTGCTTTGAACTTTCTTCTGTACTTCCTCTTCCCTTCTTCTTCCTCTTCTTCCTTATGCTCTCTCCCTCCTCCTCCGTCAGTAGCCTGAGAGAGAGAGAGAGAGAGAGAGAGAGAGAGAGGGGGGGGGGGAGGGGAGTGAGTCTTTGTTCAATAAGAGATAGAGGGAGGGGGGGGTACATGAGGAGATAAGAGGCGGCCGCTTGGTCTCTCCGCCCACCCCCCTTGTCGTTATGTGATAGCTGCCACGCGCCCCTGTATCAGGGGGGAGGAGGTGTTGGGGGCAGCGTGGGACACTACGGGGGTGTTGGGCGCTCACAGCGGACCAGTGTTGGAGAGCCTCTTGCCTGGTAGTGCTGGAGAGAGAGAGAGAGGGAGAGAGAGAGAGTGTTGGAGAGCCTCTTGCCTGGTAGTGCTGGAGAGAGAGACAGTGTTGGAGAGCCTCTTGCCTGGTAGTGCTGGAGAGAGAGAGAGAGGGAGAGAGAGACAGTGTTGGAGAGCCTCTCGCCTGGTAGTGCTGGAGAGAGAGACAGTGTTGGAGAGCCTCTCGCCTGGTAGTGTTGGAGAGAGAGACAGTGTTGGAGAGACAGTCAAGTCTACCGTGGTCTCCGTGGCGCTTAAAACCCAGCACCGTGCCTCCTCCAATAACTATGAAAGCCATATAACTCCAGTCTAAAACCACTCGCACAGTTACGAGTCAACTGGCAATCATTCATAGCCGTCTCTTCCCCCTTCCGGCAGCGCCAGTCAGCTATGTGACAGACAGGAGAGATAAATATACCCCCCCCCAGGGCAAGGATGTGACAGTTCTGTCCCCCTCCCAGTCAGAGACCGCCAGGAGCCATGTGAGGTGACGGACGCCACCCATCCCCTAACCTGTCTAGTCAGTTCGGCTGTGATATATAGTGTTCTACGGAAGCTACTTCTTCAAGTTCAAACTTCTGCCAAGATGTGTATTGAGGCGCAAGATGGTGAGTTTTTCTCGTTTGTTTTTCTGGCTTTGTTGCATTTTTCATTAGCAGTGAATGTTTCTTAGGCCAGGCTTGGTACACACCTGTTCCAGCAATACCAGACTTGGTACACACCTGTTCCCATAATACCAGACTTGGTACACACCTGTTCCCACAATACCAGACTTGGTACACACCTGTTCCCATAATACCAGACTTGGTTCACACCTGTTCCCACTATACCAGACTTGGTACACACCTGTTCCCATAACACCAGACTTGGTACACACCTGTTTCCACAATACCAGACTTGGTTCACACCTGTTCCCACAATACCAGACTTGGTACACACCTGTTCCCACAATACCAGACTTGGTACACACCTGCTGGTTAATATCTCAAGAATAAGTTACGGGAATGAATTCAACTTTGGTAAATGAACGCCTTAGAGCCACGTCACATAACTGCGGTATAACTGCAGATATACCTAAGCATATTCATTTACAATAATTAGACGTAATAGTTACGTTACGTAATGTACCACGTGATGGCTTGACGGCTGAGTGGACAGCGCTCAGGATTCATAGTCCTGAGGTTCAGGGGCTCGATCTCCGGTGTAGGAGGAGGAGGAAAGAAATGAGCAGTTTCTTTCACACGGGGTTGAGACAGAAGTCCCCTCAGGGTTACGTCGACATTACGTTACAGGCTGTCAATATGGTTACAGCCTGTCAATACGTTACAGGCTGTCAATACGTTACAGGCTGTCAATACGTTACAGCTTGCCAATACGTTACAGGCTGTCAATACGTTACAGGCTGTCAATACGTTACAGGCTGTCAATACGTTACAGGCTGTCAATCCGTTACAGGCTGTCAATCCGTTACAGGCTGTCAATACGTTACAGGCTGTCAATCCGTTACAGGTTGTCAATACGTTACAGGCTGTCAATACGTTACAGGCTGTCAATACGTTACAGGCTGTCAATACGTTACAGGCTGTCAATCCGTTACAGGCTGTCAATACGTTACAGGCTGTCAATCCGTTACAGGCTGTCAATCCGTTACAGGCTGTCAATACGTTACAGGCTGTCAATACGTTACAGGCTGTCAATACGTTACAGGCTGTCAATACGTTACAGGCTGTCAATACGTTACAGGCTGTCAATACGTTACAGGCTGTCAATCCGTTACAGCTTGCCAATACAGTTACATCAACGTCCATACCTAATTGCTAATTAGGTATGCTAATTGCTAATTGCAATTGCTAATTCTGCTAATTATGCTAATTGCCGGAGGGCTTGTTGACCAGAGCAGAATTATTTCCTGCTATTTTTAGCGGTACTCTGAGGTCGTGTCATCCCCGTTGTGCTGGTCGTTGACAGGGGCTCGTAAGTCCCCCTCTTAAGCCCAGCACTTACGGGCTCGTAACCCGCACCATTGCAAGTGCATTTGAGCAAGTTGACAGGGTTGATATTTTGGCTGATTCCCGTCCATCCAAGTTAAAAGGCTACCAAGTTATTGGTCGCAAGGTAGAGTGAAGTTTAGGTTAGGTTAAGTTGGTTAGGTCAAGTTGATTAGGTCAGGTTAGGCTAGGCCAGGTTAGGTCCCTGTGTTACAGTGTTGGGAATCGCGCATCCAGGTGTGGCCATGGGGTCACAGGAGGTGGTCATTGCCTAAAAGGTTAGGTCAGAGATGAGGGCATCATGTCAGAGATGAGGGCATCAGGTCAGAGATGAGGGCATCAGGTCAGAGATAAGGACATCAGGTCAGAGATGAGGGCATCAGGTCAGAGATGAGGGCATCAGGTCAGAGATAAGGACATCAGGTCAGAGATGAGGGCATCAGGCCAGAGATGAGAGCATCATGTCAGAGATGAGGGCATCAGGTCAGAGATGAGGACATCAGGTCAGAGATGAGGGCATCAGGTCAGAGATAAGGACATCAGGTCAGAGATGAGGGCATCAGGCCAGAGATAAGGACATCAGGTCAGAGATGAGAGCATCATGTCAGAGATGAGAGCATCATGTCAGAGATGAGGGCATCAGGCCAGAGATGAGAGCATCAGGTCAGAGATGAGGGCATCAGGTCAGAGATGAGGGCATCAGGTCAGAGATGAGGGCATCAGGTCAGAGATGAGGGCATCAGGTCAGAGATAAGGACATCAGGTCAGAGATGAGGGCATCAGGCCAGAGATGAGAACATCAGGTCAGAGATGAGAGGTCAAGTTAGGTCAGAGAGCCTCACACTCAGATGACACTACCTGGGAGGGGCGTCTCCCAGACAATGTACCTGGGAGAGAGGGAGGGAGGCTGGGTGGACATTCTCCCAACATTCTCCTCGTGGAGGCTCTTATTGCTATTAATTACCGTATATCTTTGTTGTACAGCATCCGGGCTGGAGGTTGTGGGTAGGGGGAGGGGTGATGGGGGATCATCCCCCTCACCCCCACCCCATTAAGGTGGTGGGGGTGAGGGGGAGCTCACATGGGTAGGGGTGGGGGGAGGTTCTCCCATTTATTGGGGGATAAGCTACTAAGAATCTTCACTATCAAATCAAATAAAAGATTTTTACTCATAAGCACATTTATAACTGGGAAAGTTTACCAGACAGTAGAGTAGTTTACCCAAGCGTGACAACCAGAGCACAACCGTAGACGCCGCCACCATCACAACCACAAACTACCCACAACAACTGACACAAGTCATTACAACACTGGCTGGACTAAACAGGTCTACAACAGTCTAAATCATTCTGACATTTTAGGCCTGAAGTGAGTGACATTCAGGTGACAGTTCTACGGCTGATGGACTGTCAGACAAAGTGAAGGTTGTCGTCACCACAGTAACACATATTTGACACAATTCTTATAACAAACTTAGGATATGATCAGACATTTAGAAGCAGAACTAACAGGCGTCCACCAGTCTCAGAAGACTATGGACGTGGTCTGGAGTGGCCTCTAAGGGCCGGGTAGGTTAATACAGGGGGGAGAAGCTGTTACCCATGCAGCAGGTCCTCCCCCCCTCCCATGAAGCAGAACTAACAGGCGTCCACCAGTCTCAGGAGACTATGGACGTGGTCTGGAGTGGCCTCTAAGGGCCGGGTAGGTTAATACAGGGGGGAGAAGCTGTTACCCATGCAGCAGGTCCTCCCCCCCCCCCCCCCATGAAGCAGAACTAACAGGCGTCCACCAGTCTCAGGAGACTATGGACGTGGTCTGGAGTGGCCTCTAAGGGCCGGGTAGGTTAATACAGGGGGGAGAAGCTGTTACCCATGCAGCAGGTCCTCTCCCCCCCCCCATGAAGCAGAACTAACAGGCCGTCGACCAGTCTCAGGAGACTATGGAGTGGCGCTCTGGTTGTCGGTCTGGAGTGGCCTCTAAGGGCCGGGTAGGTTAATACAGGGGGGAGAAGCTGTTACCCATGCAGCAGGTCCCCCCCCCCAATAAAGCAGAACTAATATAAATTAATACTACATCGTTGTGGATATTTGCACACCTCAGCGTCAACTCATTCTGGGGCGCCCGGCTCAAAATCACCCCAAACTGCCTATCAATAATCCGTCTCTATGACAGTATAGTTCCTTCATAGTGTCATATATCACCCAGCTGGTGATATCCCTGCACCCAGCTGGTGATATCCCTGCACCCAGCTGGTGATATCCCTGCACCCAGCTGGTGATATCCCTGCACCCAGCTGGTGATATCCCTGCACCCAGCTGGTGATATCCCTGCACCCCAGCTGGGAATGTCCCTGCACCCCAGCTGGTGATATCCCTGCACCCCAGCTGGTGATATCCCTGCACCCAGCTGGTGATATCCCTGCACCCAGCTGGTGATATCCCTGCACCCAGCTGGTGATATCCCTGCACCCAGCTGGTGATATCCCTGCACCCCAGCTGGTGATATCCCTGCACCCAGCTGGTGATATCCCTGCACCCCAGCTGGGAATGTCCCTGCACCCCAGCTGGGAATATCCCTGCACCCCAGCTGGTGATATCCCTGCACCCAGCTGGTGATATCCCTGCACCCAGCTGGTGATATCCCTGCACCCAGCTGGTGATATCCCTGCACCCAGCTGGGAATTTCCCTGCACCCCAGCTGGGAATATCCCTGCACCCAGCTGGGAATGTCCCTGCACCCCAGCTGGGAATGTCCCTGCACCCCAGCTGGTGATATCCCTGCACCCAGCTAGGAATGTCCCTGCACCCCAGCTGGTGATATCCCTGCACCCAGCTGGTGATATCCCTGCACCCAGCTGGGAATGTCCCTGCACCCCAGCTGGGAATATCCCTGCACCCAGCTGGGAATGTCCCTGCACCCCAGCTGGGAATGTCCCTGCACCCCAGCTGGTGATATCCCTGCACCCAGCTAGGAATGTCCCTGCACCCCAGCTGGTGATATCCCTGCACCCAGCTGGTGATATCCCTGCACCCCAGCTGGTGATATCCCTGCACCCAGCTGGTGATATCCCTGCACCCAGCTAGGAATGTCCCTGCACCCAGCTGGTGATATCCATGCACCCAGCTGGGAATGTCCCTGCACCCCAGCTGGGAATGTCCCTGCACCCCAGCTGGGAATGTCCCTGCACCCAGCTGGGAATGTCCCTGCACCCCAGCTGGGAATGTCCCTGCACCCAGCTGGGAATGTCCCTGCACCCAGCTGGGAATATCCCTGCACCCCAGCTGGGAATGTCCCTGCACCCCAGCTGGGAATATCCCTGCACCCCAGCTGGTGATATCCCTGCACCCAGCTGGTGATATCCCTGCACCCAGCTGGGAATGTCCCTGCACCCAGCTGGTGATATCCCTGCACCCAGCTGGTGATATCCCTGCACCCCAGCTGGGAATGTCCCTGCACCCCAGCTGGGAATATCCCTGCACCCCAGCTGGTGATATCCCTGCACCCAGCTGGTGATATCCCTGCACCCAGCTGGTGATATCCCTGCACCCAGCTGGTGATATCCCTGCACCCAGCTGGTGATATCCCTGCACCCAGCTGGGAATGTCCCTGCACCCCAGCTG